CGTCATGCATGAGAAGAATGACAAAATGGGATCCAATCCGTTTCACAAGCTGTGCTACTTTACGAGCTTGTTCTGCATTGAAGTCTGAAAATGACATCCGTCCCAAGCCCTGTCCCTGAATGCGGTCTTGCTGACCGTTGGCACGAGCAAGATCATTGAGAGATCCGAAGAGACTTTGGCCGTAGCCCTCGTCGGAATAAACACAAGCTGCTGTTGCGACATTGAAGTGTATAACCCAATGCCAAATGGCAGTAGCGAGGAAGCTGTCCGGTGGCATGGTTCGAATAAAGAAGGGGTATTCCTTCTTGTTAGACAACTTGGGGCTTTTGGCACAGCAAGATATTTGGGGTATCTGCCGCACACCTGCCAGTGTAGCAACCGGCGTGGCGACCTTCGATTTTCCTGGACCGACTAATCCGACCACAGGTGCATTGCCTTCAAGGCCAAGAAGCAAGTTCAAGGCTTCGGACATGCCTTGGTCGTCGTTTTGGGGCCCTTAAAAATTCTATAGGAACCAACGTGCAACCTAGATGCCCGTCTTGTCAGAATCACCATCGTCCTTCATGCTCAAACTGATGGCTCCCATGCTTGCATTTGGATGCACTCCACCAGGGATCTCGATGATTGGAGGGCCTAACCGGGCGGCCAAGGAAGCATTGAAATTCTTCTGGTAGTCGATGAAGGCTGCAGCTGCTGTTGCGTGTTGTTGAGGAATGTTGGCGAGAGCTCCCAGTGCAAACTCCACACTGGCGCACCTGACAAAGCTCAACGACAAAAGCAGCACGCTGCGAAGTCCATGTCCAGCCATGGCTTGATTGAAAACGCCGATTAAAAACTGCTCCAACCGCGGCAACTCGATGACCACATGACATTCTGCCGCTGCACAATAGCCTACCATCCTACAGTGTTTCAGTATGGTGTGGTATGCTACACAGAACTATGAAATATGTACTGCATGTCAACATGGTATATGATGGCACTGCTTCCACAAAAGCTGCAACATGTGCATGACAGGTATACCGCACAGGTGGCGAAGAATCTCAGCCACCCAAGACTGGGAAACACCTAGAATAAGCAAATTCAATAAATCTTGTAGAGGAACCCATAGCATGATTCAACATATACTCGGGTCTCGCGGTCAATCGGGATTGACATCTGACTCGAAGCTGTCTTCCCTGCTGCAAACAAGGCTGCACCCGATTAGCTTTACGGCTCCTTAATGAGATCTGTAAGGGTTTCTATGAGGGTACTATAACGGTAGATCCCTTCCCTAAGCCCTAGTAATGCTTCCAGCCTTCTGTGAACGTGCTGTACTGCAGCGAAGTGGTCGTGCGAATCCGTGACCTGCTCCTTCTACTTGGGCACAAGTAAACCTTAAAATCCAAAACCGAAAACACAAGCGAGCCCGCTTCCGAGTCATGTGGTTGGCAAGCTACCGATCACCCTAATTGAAACGCTGAGAACAAGGAAGTGAACATAAAACCTGCACCAATCGGATCTTCATTGCATGGACTCTTAAACTGCCTTAACTAACGGGATGCTTCTAATGAGGACTCCTGAATAAGGTCCTTCTGTTGTGTAAGAAAGCCCTACGTAGATACTCCTGAAACTGGAAGTTCGGCAGCAAAGGGTTTTCAAGATAATAACCGAGGGGTGTAGGGTTTGGGTTTAGGGTTTTGGGGTTAGGGGCTTGGAGTTTAGGATTTAAGGTGTGCGGCTTAGGCTGCAGGGTTTGAGGTTTTGAATGGAGCGCTAAGTGTGGGGTTCCTCACATTCGTAGTGAGTGGTCGTACTAAACCCGAAGCCCTACAGTAGAAGCCAGAAAGTTGGAATATCATTATCGTAACCCCTTTAAGGTAAATTATAGGGGATCCTACCATTAATCCATATTCCAACTTTCTGGAGTTCCCTTTAAGCCCTAAACCTTGAAGCCAATCGCCGGATCCTATGCTTTTCGCCTCAGACCTTCGAACTTCAGACAGCCACTGAGGGCCTAGGTAGGGTTTATGGCTTCGGATTCTGTATCATGCTAACTGGGCTTTAGGGCTTATGGTTTAGGGTTAGTATGGAGGACCCATTTATATCTATATCTGTATTCTATATCTATATCTTTATGTATAATACATATATATATATATATATATATACATTGGGGACCCTGGTGCTGTTTCAATGTTACAGATTATTATGCAGAGGCCGGACATCCCTTCTGGTTTGACTTTAGAATATCCCAAAAAACAAAATCCTCGCTGTCAGAATCAGAAAGCCCCCCTGTACTAACCCCTAAACCCCAAAACCAGGGTTTCTTAATCAGGTTCCTACATTACACCTTGACGTAAACAAGGGTCCTTAAATCCAATCTGCGGCGTGCAGTATTCCGCATGCTATATCTCAGAGCTAGGGGAGTCGGTGTCATGCACTTGAGGCCTTTTTCCTGCCCCAGCGCTACGATCAATCCGATCACCGCGCGAAGAAGTCCGAAGAACATTTCAAACGCACAAAAACTGTTAGGGGGAATCTTGTGAAAGCTCCCACCTTACGCCTCTCTGTGGACACACAGCTACACCGTTTGGTTTAAAAGGACCATGGCATGTACCCATGGTGATCGCAAATTGCGTTAGAAAACAAATTCCACCATGTTCGCTTCTTCGGACCGTGGTGTGCCAGTAGACCTTGGTTTCCCAGCAGCCCTCTGCTTTGCAAGCGTACCCTTTGAGGGTTTCGGATTTAGGGTTTTCGTTCCTGCAACTCAGGCTTAGTAATTCCAATGAAAGCCTCCGAAACGCAAAAGGTAAAATTCAAGGGTAAAAGGACCCTTTAAAGGACCCCTAGGTATATACCCTTAATATAGCTATTATATACCCATTTTGTAGCCCCATTATCGGGTAGGGGTCCCCATTAAGGGTCCCTCCTTTTCCCCTTTGGGAAAAGCGTAGAAGCCAGATCCGCAACTAAAACAACGACTCGAACCCCCGAATATCTGCGCAGGGTTTAGGGTTTAGGGTGGGGAACTTGTTTAAAAAAACGGGTAGAACCGCTTCTGCGAGCGAAAGGCCATTGCCCAGAGACTCCAAAACCTCTAAACTAAGCAATACACCTTAACTCACTTCAAATCATACAACTTAAACCCTAAACCCTGAACCCTAAACCTTGACAACTACCGGAAAACTCAGGGGATCTTGGAGAGCTTGGATACTGAAAGACCCAGTGACCTCTCATCATCCGAAGTCTGGCTGCGATCGTCCGTGACATCAGCCACCAATGATTCCTTTAGGGTTTCGGGTTTAGGGCTTGGGGTCTCGGTGTAGAAATTCGGGTCCACAAAGGCATCTTCAGGTTATCAGGATGCAGGGTTTAGCGCTTGCAGGGCTTTAGAAACGACTGCAAAGCGCTGTACTTGGACTTAAGAAGCACTTCCGGGATGGATACATAGAGGTAGGGCTTTGGGATATATATATATATATATATATATATATATATAGTACAACTACACTTCTGTGCAGACTGTACAGTGACGTTATGGCTATCATTGCAATCTCTAGATCAGGCCGTAGGATTCATGATGGGGTTGCTGGGGATTGCGAGTTCAGGATGGAAACCCAGGGTTCAGGGTTTAGGGTTTAGGGTGTAGGGTTTAGGGTTTAGGGTTCGGGTTTAGGGTTTAGGGTTTAGGGTTTAGGGTTTAGGGTTTGGGTTTAGGGTTTAGGGTTTAGGGTTTAGGGTTTAGGGTTTAGGGTTTAGGGTTTAGGGTGTAGGGTTTAGGGTTTAGGGTTCGGGTTTAGGGTTTAGGGTTTAGGGTTTAGGGTTGGTGCAGGGTTCATTCAGGAATGCTCCATCACAAGTACACATCGCGGTTACCCTGAACCCGAATCCCGCGGTTAAAGCCGGGCCTGTGCATGGAGATTCTCAAGGGCTGGCTGGAAACTGCCTCGACGCAGGGTTTAGCGTTTAGGGTGCAGGGTTTCTTTTTTTTGAGGGCCTTTTTGCAACTGCACTAGTCTGTATCCGTCGCAGCCCATAGGGTGCAGGGTTTAGTGCTTGGGGTTTGGGTTCAGGGTTTAGGACCTCGACGCAGGAGCTGATCTTCGTTCTCGTCTTTTGGAGCAGCCGTGACTGGATCCTCGGCGGCCCACTGCAAGCGATTCTCTAAGGGTTCTGGGATATAGGGACCCTAAACCCTAAACCCCTAAACCTTGATCATCAGAACACGGTTTGGGGTACAAAGCACCAGAATGACGGAGGGACGGCACTTTGTGGGGATAAGTTAAGTAAAGCAACCTCGGAACTGCAATTTTAATCAGGAGTCCATTGAATCCACACTCATCATGAAGACACCGAAGAAACACTAGTCTTAATGATTTAAGCTCCCGGGCACTTTAGGGTGTTCAGTTGGTTTTGGTGGATTTTTGAAGGATATTTTGACGCCCCGACCCAGACCCTGCAAGAATCCAAAAAGTAGATCCCATAACGGGGTTCTGGTAGAGTACCCTGTAGTAGTATGGGGTCCCTACGTTTGTAACCCTACTGGGGTCTGGGAGGTTTCGGAAGTTCCGACATACCTCGAGCCCTCAGAGAGGATCCTTTGTCGAGGGGATTTAGGGTTTAGTGTTGAGGTTATAGGGTTTACGGCTGAGATATCAAGAGGTCGAATAGATTTAGGGCTGCAGATTCGATGACGGAACCCCTCCGCAGCGAACACCCAACTACTCTGAATCTTGCAACCGGAAGTCTAGCAAACCTGTACTATCTTACGATATATATATATATATATATATATATATATAACATAGTATATTGCAGTATATTACACCGTCACATAGTACACTATATCATTGTAGAAAGCCTGGACAGAGCCAAGCGTCCTGATATCGGTGGATTCGCGATGCGATCTCCGCCACCTGCCTCTCTTGCAGACCTTCTGATGCTAGAGGTGTGAATGGCAAGGCCAGCACTGTGCACAAGTTTCGAAAAACCTGGGCCGGGATGCAGTGAGCAAGAACCTAGAGAGCCCAATACCCCTCAATTCAGGAATATTCCTTAAACTATATTAGGGGTCCTGCTAAAATTGGTCAGGCGAGGGGGCTTAGGGTTTCCAGAGGGCTGAGAATCCTCAGGTCCCCATGCCGGTCCCCAAAGGGCTGCATAGAGGATTCGTTTTTCTTGTTTTGGTCTAGATAAAGGAGCCCATATCCAACCCTCAGACGACCCCAATCAAGGATCCTGTGTGCTCTACAACATGGTCGCAACCGTCCGTCGCAAAGCGTTGAGCGTTAGGAAGGTCTCACAAGGGTTCTGCAAGGAGCTCTATTCAGTGCTACAGTGCTGCTACGACGATCAACAATTTCGAAGACTATCATCGTTACTAGAAGTGTAGCTTTCTGTTCGTACTATCATGAAAGTATCGTTATTGCTCTCGTGTTCTAGATATTCATTGTTGCTATCTCGGGTGCAAACGTGCCCGACCACCCAGCTTACAGATATTGAAAAGTTGTTTTGCCGATGGTTTCCAGTCCACTCATTGCTACCATTCCTATCCCCAAATAACAGACAATCTTATAAGTTCTCCTTTTGACGAGGCTGTCTTATGAGAAAAAACCCTCTCTCTTTCGCCAGCTTGTCAACACCCTCCCAAATCCGAAAAAATGTAAGCCCTGGACCCCAAGACCATCAAGCTCTATATCCCGAATCCCTAGTTCCAAGCCCCCAAAACCTAAATGACTTCAACAGGACCTATTGGCTTTACGGCAAAGGAGAAAACCCCTAGAGTAGAGGGCTTTGGAAAGCTCTCTAGCATTTTGTTCTGGTGTATAGTAGAGTATGAATTTGGTACCGAAACCCTGAACCTTAATCCCTGAATCCTAACCCTAAACCCTAAATCAACAACTCTGAACACTAAACTCCAAAGCCTAAACCCTCCACCCTAAGCCGTAGATTCCCAAACAAAATGTACTTCATTCGCAAGAAGGAGCCTGATCCTGGTGTGCCGGCCCACCAGGAGGAGCACGGCAGCCGAACTTCTTCTTCATACTATCCTGAGTTTAGGGTTTAGGCCTTTGGGTCTTACAGGATGTTATACGCTGGGACGTGGGTTTTAATACAGTTCTTGATAGTTGCATATGGGGCTTGAAGAATCTGATACGGTTATACAGGGGTTGCAATGCGATACGGTTTTGTAAGGGTTGCACTGCCTTCAAGATGTGACCACACATGAATGCAAATCTCCCAGGAGTCCCAGGAGCCACCTAAAAGCAAGACCACCTTCGACCTAAAGCCCCCAAACCATAAAATCGTAAACTCCAGGCCCCGAAAACCCACAAAACTATGCTCAAAAACCTTGAAAACCTGAAGCCCAAGCGGGCTCCCAGCGTGCCACCTCGCGTCGACGTTTGGAACTTCGAAGTTGGAGTCGGCAACCTAATGGCAGTCATAGGGTTTAGGTTTCTTTGTTGCACAGGCTTTGGGTTGAGGGTTTAGCTTTGAGGGTTTAGGGCCCGGGTTTAAGCCAGAGTTCCGAGAGACTCCGCAACCGCTCCACTCAGGACGAGACTTTAAGTAGAAACCCTAAACCCCTAACCACACCAGCTCTGTCATTTAGGGTGCATTGCTTTCTTGTGGGCTTTAGGAATCCCTGGGCCCGAGGTTTAGGTTAATGAATTTAAATGTAGGCAAGGGTTTAGGGCCTAGGTTAGAGGTTCAGGGTTCGGGTTTAGCCCACGATAAAGTACGGAGCTATCGTAGTCTCTGACGACCCTTATGAAACCCTTCCAAAATCCGATAGGTCTCTCACGCAACCCAACTTAAAATTTAAGAGTTGCGAGAAAAAAAGGCTCCTTATACGAGAAAATACTTCCTGCGGAGATCCGGGTAGCCACTGGCACCAATTCCAAGGCCCGTTTTGACGAGGTACAAGTCTGAGTAGCATACCTGGGTTGGTTTCATCGGGGTTAAGGATTCGCGTTTAGGGTTGGTTTTGTATGGATTCTGATCGGATTCGTTTACAGCTGTTTCGAACGCTTTCCGCTTCTGCCGGTGCTCTGTGTAGCTTTCTTGGTTAGGGTTTAGGGTTTAGCACTTGGGGTTCAGGGCTAAGGGTTGAGCGACTTGACTAGGGCTTGGGTTTCGGGTTAAGAGGTGAGCGCATGGGGTTTAGGACGCTCTTCAATGCAGCCGGCAAAACCCGAGGCTTCCATAAGAGCTGATGTTCTAGAAGGGTTCGTCAGTGGTCTCAGAACCTCAACGACGTAATCAGTATAAGAAATCCGCGTTTTACGATCGCTTCATATTTCGGTACGTTGTCCAGTTTCTTAGCAGCTGCCCAGATGCAGGAGAAGCTTGATGAAATCTTCGTCCCGGAGGATGCCACGGAAAAGCAAGGCAATGAGGTAGTAGGCAAAAGGCTTGCATGTGGCAATCTGCTGAAAATCGTGCACAACCTCGCACTCGACATGGAGGTGTGCTTGTAGAAGAATTTGAAAGACCTCGCAAGCGGACAAATACTCTGCCTCCATATAGGAGCTCAAAATGAGAATCCGGGGTCGTGAGACATGTCCGGCCGTCTTGCTCGTCGTTCGACGAGACGACAATCCACAGACGTTCATAAGCTCCACGACCACCTTTTCCCTGCCACAAACCTGGGAAGTTCTAGCTGTGAGCATGCCGTTCTATGTGAGCGACTGGCACCGGACATGATCCAATTCAGCTACAAACGGGTGCTGGGCGTTTAGGGCTGAAGCTTAGGGTTTAGGAGCCATGAGCCTGTCAGAAGTCTGCCACGCAGCAAAATAGATGTCACAAGTACGACTACAGTTATGACGAAGACACATCATAAAAAACATTCATCACTTAGGAAAATAAGCGACCCCAACATGCAACCCTGCATAGCAGGATCTTGATTGCAACGACCCCTAGTTTTCGAATCCACTGAAACCATATAAAGCCTGTTTATAAATGTCACAAACCCCTATAAGCGTCTATCAAACGCTGAAAGAGCCCCTAAAAAGCCCACGCCCTAAACCCAAGCCTTCAAACACTTCTGAGATCCTCGCTGGACCAAAGCGGGCCATTTGGAGAGGAGTTAGCTCATGCTGCAGCCATGAATAAGCCTCGGTTGTAGGGTTAAGGGCTTAGAGCTTTCGGGGTTTACGGTTCAGGGTTTTTGCCTTGTAAATTCCTAAAGAGTGCTTTGTAGGATTCTATGAGGATAAAAAAAGCTTCTTTCAAGGGTTCCTAAAGGATCCTAGAGGTAGGTTTGGGCTTCAAGTCTTTAGGGCCTCAGGGTGCACAAGCCTCGGTTCTAGGCCTATTCTTGGTTTTGAGGCTTCGAGGCTTTAACGCCTACTGTAGGGTTTAGGGTTTAGGGTTTCTGGCGGTGGGGCGTTAAGGCGTTCTCTGGTTGCCCGCGCAAGGGCCCCGACAAGCCTTGATATAATATCTGTGCAGAGACACCTCTTCAACAGACTATGACCCAATTTGCATCAAAAATCTCCCACTGTGCCACCGAGGGTGCCAAGTTCACATCATCAAGCTGGATCCCGTAGCTTGCCAATTGTGCCTGGGCTCTTGTTAAGGAACCTCGATTGTGCTAACAATGTAGGCACACACAAGGGCTTTTCTGTGGGTGCTATGAGGCTCCTATAGGCGATAAAAGGAGGCAGATAAACTGACTAACCCCCAAACCTGCACCATGTTCCCCTTAAATCCAAACCCTACACCCTGTTCCTTCTTTTTGTGACTTGAACAAGACTCCTTAACAAGCGCCTGGGTACAACTTGGTGAGGCGTCCAAAGTGAAGGGATCTGCTTCTGTGCCTCGCAACCAAGCAAACACAATAACGTGTGCTTTCAAGAAAGACGTGCGTGGGTTTGAGATTTTGTTAGGCTTTCGGCTTTAAGATTTGAGGCTTAGGAACCCTCCAGACGGGCCGCATAGGGGAATAACTCTTCTAGTATGTTGAGAGCGTTAAGTTGTTGGGATTGGGATTCCCTTACATGACCACAATTATGGGTTTAGGGTTTGGGGTACCCGTATGCCTCGTCAGACAGCCTTTCGAAACCTTCGCAGAGCAAGGGCACCGTGTGAATGTCATTCTTCCAGGCGGTTACGATCTCTCCCGCACACCAGCCTGTAGGGCTAGTTCCGCGCTTTTTGTTCCTTCTTAAACTGTTCATAAGGAGAGACTATACTAGACTTGAAGATCAAATTGCCCAGCAACTTCTAGACAGCAGCTCTCCGGTGAGCACCACGACCACGTTCTTTGTCGATGTCCGGATGATGTCAAACAACAAGTCGAGGTTCTGAAGCTGGTCGCTGTCCAAGAACACCTACTGTAGGCCATACAGCAGCGCCGTCACAACAAGGATAAAGTTGTCCCATTCATCTCTTTAGAAGGGAGAACCTTCAACCCCAAACCCTAAACCGTAAAACCCAAACCGCGTCCCCTAAACCTCAGGTCGAAGGGTAGGACTGAAAAGTCAAGCCGCCCGGGCGGAAGAGTGCTGCAGAATCACGAGCTTCATCAAGCGGCTCAAGCTCCCACCCCCTGCCTTGTGGTGACCTTACTTAAACGCTCACGGGACTTAGTGACTTAGTAAGTAAGGGTATAAGTAGGTGATCAGAAGGATAACCCCACTTAGGGGACTTATAATCCCAATGATAACCTACTTACTCAGTCCCAATGAGCCTTTAAGTAGTGCTCTTTCTGGATGTTACCAGTGATTTATCTGGTTTTTGGCGGGGTTTCCTGCAAGTTTTTTTAATGATTTGAAAAGACGTAAGAAAGGAGCCGCCATGAATCTATGTTGAGGTCTTACGGTTACCTTTGTGTTTTCCCTGTGTCCGACCAAGAACGGAGCAATTAAGATGCTGACATAGGAAGATGTCGTAGAGCTTCTCCCTCTTCTGCCTGATGGCCTTGGATGTTGCTGAAATGTTAAACAACACGGTCAACCCTAAACCCGAAACACTACTATCCCACTGCCCCCCAAGCGTGCACCCGCCCCCACAGCTATACTTTGCGGATCGGGTTTTTGAGGCTTAGGCAGCGATTCAATGGCAACCATGGAGCCTTCACCGCGAGTCTCAGGAAGCCAAGAAGAACCACAAGCAAGATCGACAGGATGGGCACCTGGGGTTTCCCCTGGTATGATAAGTTTAGGGTTACACCCATTTTGATCGGGTTGTCCCTGTGAATAAAGAAGCCCCAAAAAAAGAGTGGTAAAAGGATACTGCGGTGGGACAAAGCTGCACAAAGAAGCCAACCGAGCACGGCCGTGGACGAAGCCTCGTCCAGTAGCAGCAGAGGACCGGCACTGAGCAGAGTGACCTGAGGCTTAGGGTGTAGGTTTCGGTTTAGGGCTTAGGGTTTTGTAGAGCCGTGCAGGGTGTAAGGCGTTTAAGCTTGGGGATGAAAAAGAGTGTTATAAGGGTTCTGGACCTCCCAGAAACCCCCATGTTAAAGATCTCTGTATTGTTGAAGGTCTACGTTGCTTAATGACAGGGATTTGGAGCCACTGCAAAAACAGTGCCGGCTTAATACTAAAACGGAAGCAGCCTCAAGACCAGCCAAGCAACGAGAAGAAGGTCCGTCAACAGCATGTCGACGCGATTGGCCATTTGTGTTCGCCATGGCGCAGTTTGCCTAGGTTCCCCCATATCTTCTTCATGGTAAGGGCTGCGCAGTTTTGACAAGGTGAACCCGCTTGAACAAGAGCAAAAGGGTACTACGGTTGATGATACAAATCCTGCATTACCCATACAAGGAACATACCATAATTTCCATAGTCTGGGGCCATCAAGGTAATGCAGGATATCTATCATCAACCGTACTGGGGCGCCAGTTGCAAGGACAGGTTCTGGACAGCCAGCAACATGATGCCCATTAACGGTACTTGAACTTCCGGCACGCCGACCAGAACCGTAGGCAGAAGAGCGATGATAGCATTGCGGTAGAGGAGGACCAAGCCGTAGTAGTAGGACCTAGCTCATGGTTGGCATAGTATTTAAAATCTAATTTTGCATTCCTTATTGGGTTTAATCAAGTACTCATAAGTATTCTATCCACCTATGACAAAGGGGCGAAGGCTTGAACCTGTGAAGAAGGAAACGATATCGCGTGGAGAAGCGAAGCCCCTTGCCACCGGCTACACGCGATGGATACGTGAAGATGACGTAGGTGGCCAACACCAGGATAGCCAAGGGCTGAGTCACAACTCCTCACAACAATGTGGAAAGATTCGGGATTGCACCCTAAGCCTCAAACCTTGAACCGTAAACCCAAATCCTAAACCCCTAACCCCAACCTACACTTTCAAACCTTAATCCTAAACCTTAAGTTGACTGGAAACCCAAGACCCTAAATATTGGGGCCGTACTAGTAAAATAAGGTTTTGGGGCCCATTGTACTATGCTTATAATAAGGAACCCTCACAATAGTATTGTTTAGGCCCCTATATCAGACGGATTAGGGTTTAGGGCTTAGGGTCGAACTGTCAACCCAAAACCGAACCCCAAACCCGCACACTCCCTCCACTCCAAGCTTAAACCGGAAACTCGGACTCGAAACCCCTAAACTCCAAACCGAAACCTAAACCCTCACAAATCGGGAAGTGTACTTAGTTTTAGGGTTTAGGGGTTTAGCTTTTTGTTCGTTTGGATTAGGATGTTGTCTTGCAAGCAGGGCTCCTACCACAGAAAGTGCAGCAAAGAGGGCATGCTCCTCCGATTGGTAGCCTGGGCTGTTGCTCAAGGTTCAGGTGCGTTTACGGCATAGCCTAAAAGTCTCATGATGACTCTATAACATGAAAACCTAGGTTTTTGGAGGAACGTAGTTTGACTTGCCATACTAGAGACACACATTCATGATGTATATGTATGCACGGATGATATATGATGCATACATATATACGTGTGTATATACATAATACATGCTTGTCTGGTTATAGTGGTTGAAATAAACTGCCTGAACAAGAACCCAGCAGCAAATGATGCCCGGGTGCAGCATCATTGAGCTAGTTCCATTTGGGTTCTCGACACACTGAAATGGAATCAGGGTCGCGCGGGTGATGGACAGGAAGAAGGCAAAGATCATCACTCCACACTGATTCAACACCGTGTTGAATGGCTTGTGACGTCCGAGCATCTTCTGCAGGACCCAAGCACACAGTAGCAGAGCACAAGCCACCGGGCATGTAAGCAATCGGCCGACAAAATAGAGTACGGGATTGTCGGTGCCGAAGAAGCAAGAAGTGCGGATGAAATGGAAGTCGAACATCACCAGCTTCGTGAGGTTGATAAGAGTCGCCACTGGCTCCTGCCCCGTGATGCCTTACAACAGGTTTACCCTGAAGGAAGATCTTTGTTTCTCATGCATCCCTATCATTCGCCAACACCCTTCAAACCCACAACCTCAGAGAAATCTGAATTCCGCTTAACCATAAACCTCACATTGAATCAACTTCGACAAACCCACTTAACTCCAAACCCCCAACCGTAACCACTTCGAAACTCACCGGCTCCTGCCAGTTGATGGACAGCTCGCCTGGGTGTCGATATCAACATCCCCCCCGGTTTAGGGTATAATCGTTCTCCAAATAAACAGTAAGGAAACTGACAACCAGACCCTAAACCCTAAGCCCTATTGAAAAGTAAAGCATGCTAGGCTGAACTCAAAACCCTATACCGTAAGATTAGCAATTGCTCTCCAGGAATTAGAATCGGTTCTCGTCACTTTTAGAAGCCCTTAAACCCTAACACTGAACCCTAGTCGCAAACCCTCAAATCGGTACCTAGTCTCGGATCGAACCCAGGGATTGGATGGCCATGAGCAGCTGGCTGGTCAGTGAGGCCGCCGTGACGGTATTCAGACCTTCAGTTCAGGATTTAAGGGTTTAGGCTTTTAAGGGGGGTGTAGGGCTTAAGGGGTTAAGGGCTTAAGGGGTTAAGGGGTTAGGGTTTTATGGGTTTAGGGTTACGGGTTAAGGGTTTGGGGCTTCAGGGGTTCAGGGCCTAAGGGGTCAAGGGGCTAACTTTGGGGTGGAGTGGCTTAAGGGGTTTAGGGTGTAGGGGTTTAGGGTGTGGGGCTTATGGGGTGAAGGGGTTAAGGGTGCGGGGATTTCGGGTTTAAGGGTTTAGGGTGTTGGTAGGGTTTGGAACTGTCGAGCTGTAGAAGCATTTTGTCATTCAAAAAGGTCTTGCTGGGTTGCAGAGCTTTTGCAAGAGTTCTTAACGCTTTATGATTTTCTGATTGTAGGGTTTCTGGTTCAGAGTTTAGGAGTTTAGGGTGTAGTTTTTTTTCTGGTTTACGGTTGTTGGAGCCATCACTGAGGAGAGCCACATATTACTGCAATATCGGCAGACTTTGTAAAGCGCGAACTCCAAACCCCAAACCAACATCACGATAATGACGCTGCAATCTCTATCCAAACAACACCAGATGGTTATATATCCTCGATAATCTTCGTCACGTGACCCTACTCGAGGAACTACGTAGATGATCCCGGGCTTGCGCAGAAGACCACCCAAAACTACTGCCACTTTCGAATTGGGTTATGCTGCAGAACAACATTGCAATAAATCTGCGAAACCAATTCGACACAATTTTGCGAGACACTGGGAGTCATGTCGCAGTCATGTCACGTGCATATCAGAGGTTTCAATGATTTGGGTTTCATCGTATGTTCGGGCCGCAAGAACAGCAGCCCGGAACCCCCGACACCGAAACCTATTTTTTGGCGGAGTTTGTCTCTGATGTAAGCCCCTAAACCCTGAACCCTATATAAAACCCCAGCCTTTGATGCAGCAAGGCACTCACTTGACTTGGATCCCAATTGGAGTTACTCACGAAGGCGAGGAGGGCAAGCAGCATAATCAAGAGCAAGATGACCGGAAGAGCATCCCCCTCACGACAACGTTCACACGTTGAGCCTGGGGGGCAGCCACAACCCGTATAGCCTTTTTTGCGGCCCTTCTAGCAACTTCCATGGTAGCCCTTGTAATAACCGTAAGTGTAAGTGTTATAGCAACCCGCATAGTGACCCTTATAGTAACCCTTATAGTAACCCTTGTAATAACCTTATAGTAACCCTTTACAATGTACAGTAACCCTTATAATACACCGCGTAGTAACCCTCGAGCCTCGGGAGTAGTAGCCCGGCTCGCAGTTGTTACACGCCTGCCCCTCTCCTGGGTTGTGGTTGTGGGCACCTAAAAACTATCTATGAATAGGCACCTTTACAGGAACCATACAGGGAAGTACACCTCTAGAGGAACCATGAAAGAAAACCCTAAACTCTAAGCCCTGAACCCTAAACCCTCACCCTAAACCCTAAACCCCTATACTCTGCACCTTGGACCCTCAACCCGAAAACCCTAAACCCCCAAACCCTAAAAAAAGTGCCCGAAAGTGCCACCTCGTCTCTCCCTTCGGAGCAGCTCCCCAAAGGTCCCTGAGGGCACTCAGCCCGGTCTCTGCCTTAGCTGCTACGTCGTCTGTACTCGATTTTCAGGGCTTCGGGTTTAGCGTTTAAGCTATACCCTATATTCAAGATGTTCCATGTTTTACTATAGGGGCCTTAATGAATACCTATAGATACTATTTTGGGAGGGTTGTTTTGTAGTTATAGTGTACTGGGCCCCAAAACCTGTTCTAATTATTGAGGCCGCTATATTTTGGTTCACGGTTGAGGGTTGCATCTCCTCCCAAGCGCTGAGGTCCCCACAGCGCAAGACGGAGAAGTCGCATTGGGAAGCGTTCGGGTCGGTCCTGGGCTAGGTGAGGAGTGTTTGGGGTTTAGCATCTAAGGAATTTAGATTAAGTTCCCATAACAAAGAAACCGCTACCAGGTACTATAGAACCATATATTCAAGTTCGTATAATGAGGAAACTGAGTTAGCACTAGATACTATAGGTCTCTATTATGGTACCTTCAAGTTGCCATAAAGAAACCCGATAGCTGACTGAAGATCCCTATTACTGAAGATGAAAATGGAGATGTAAAGGAAAACTGTTAAACAAAAGGCGTGGTGCACAGATCCTGCATGGTTGTTTGACCAGTTTTCACAATTCTGGTCTTCATATTGGAACCACTCACGACCGGTCGTGCAATCTCAAGCCCAGTACTTGGTCCATGCCTTGCCGCAGTTACATGATTTCGACCCGAAAGTCACCACAGCAGACGTGCTTGAAGCTGTGCGGCGCTTGAAGGTGGGAAACGCTAAGGGTTTGGATGTGTTTAGTAACTTTGAGCTGCAATGTGTGTATGAAGAAGATGCGCCCTGCTTTTCAATTCCAGTCTGACAGGGGAGTGGCCGGATGAAATGTGTGAGGCTGCTGTTGCTTCGCTTGCCAAAGTAGAGCAGCCTCAAGTTCCTGAAGATGGCAAACCTATCACAATTCTCTCAAGCTTGTACCAGCTGTTTGGCAAAGAAACTTCCGAGTAATTTTTGCAGCATTGGTTGCCTCATTTGCCAGAAACTCTGTGTGGCAGTATCCCCGGACGGTCGTCCACTGATGCTGCGCGGAATCTTGCTGCGCGAATCGAAGAAGCGATGGCTTCCAACCGAACTGTCTACGGTGTTTCACTTGATTTATCTCAGGCATATAATATAACCGATTGCTGCGTGATCTTGTCATGCAGATGGCTGTACGAACTGGTTGGCCACCGCCCCAAGCAGAAGCATACTGTATTTTGATCAGTAAACTTGGAAGGTATTTTAAACTTGCCTATGGCTTGTGGGGGCCTGTCCAAAGTACGGATGGAATGCCTAAGGATGCCCCTTGGCGGTGTCGTGGATGATTGTGGTTACTTGGGCTTTGACCACTAGGATTTCTGATTTACGGGTTAGTTTAGTCAGCTGCGTCGACAATTGGAGCGCCCAGATGTAGGACAGTTCTCAGCTTGCGCCGTTCTTGCACGAAGTGAGCCCGGCCACCAAACCATGCAGTTGCTTTTTAAATCTGAGAAGACAAAGGTTTGCTCGAGTTGCCCTGAAGGCAGGCAACTGCTTCGCTACATGTTGGTTCAAGATTCTCCTTTGCAGGTTTGTTTAAGGTTGGGGTGCACTTTAATGTAGGTAAGCAGGTTATGGCAGCGAGTCTGCTACCCCGTGTGGAGGCTGTGCAACCAAGGTTGATGAAGTGGCAACGTGCACCTTGCGTACTTGTGCGCGTTGTGCACTCGGCAGTGCATTTGGGATGTGAGTTTGCGAACACGTCCCTGTCGACTTGCAGCTTACTGCGTGGCAAGTACTCGGGGGCAACCTTTGGTCCAACGAGTCATAGAAACCATTTCCTTACTCCCCTGCTTGGCCCTGAAGTCCAGTATGAACCATTCATTCTTGTCCTGCTCCGTCGAATTAATACCTTGCGTAGGGTTTGTGCGCAAGACTCGGAGTCCACCTGTAGACAGTGGGATATAGTGATATCAGCGAGTTCGCCTGCGACAGGTCCGTACACGTACTGGTTGGCGCAGCTTCGTTGTTTAGGTTGGGCTCCTCAGCCTGGGTTGTTGTGTTTGGGCACCTCTGGTGAAAGTATCCATTTGTGTTTATCTTCCAAAAAAGATTTGAAAGCATCGGTTTGTGACGCCTGGTGGCAAGTGATCGCAACGAAGTTGCCGGGCCAGCCGTGGTCTAGCAGGGCCCCCATGGTTTCCCTGCCGGCGTCCCTTTCCCTTAGGAAGGTTGCTAAATGCAGTCATTCGGTTGATGATATAAATCCTGCGTTACCCAGAATAAGGAATGCACCATAATTCCTATAGTCTAGCGTCATTAAGGTAATGCCGGATTTATGTCATCAACCGTTCGACTGTTGGGAGTTTTATTGTAGGTGCTGCTTTGTCGCCTGGTCGGAAGCGGCACTTTCTTTCTAGTGAGGAGGCTTTATGCAAGCACTGTGGTTGTGAAGATGGGTATGCACAGCGCCTACGGTTTTGCCGCAAGTGCGCAAAAACTCGTGCGCATTTTCCGCCCCGTCTATTACAGACCATTGACGACGAGATTCTGTTGCGAGTTTTGTGGCTAGAGGCTCCTGCAGGAACTGATGCGCGTAAAATGTTTGAAACCTCGGAGCATCCTGTTGTCCAAGACTGCTTGGATGATGGTGTGCCTCTTGCTACCGATGGTTCAACCCAACCTCACGCATTTGTGCCGGTTAGTACCTGGGCCGTTGTCCTTGCGAACCCCTGCTCGATGGATAACGCAATTCTAGACAGAGGCATGCTTCCAAGACGACAAGACAACTTCCGTGCTGAGCTGTATGCTGTGTTTCTTACAGTACAAACCGCGTCTTCGGCTCAAGGTGAGACATAGCGGCCCCTCGTTCTACTTGTTGGGTTGGTTTACATTCTTGTGCCACGAATGTTTTCCGGATTGTTCCAGGATTTTCACGCTTTTCATATTCCTTTCTTTAGGCGACAACACTCGGACAATGGAAGTGCCGCCCAGCGGCGCTGACGCCATGGATGACAAGGCACACTTGTCGGCAAGATAATCCGCCAAGGTGCCTGCCCGGGCCGATTTTGAGACAAGCTTCCCTTTAGTGTTAATAAGGTTGGTAGGGGAAGGGCGGAAATCTTTACGCATAGTGCGCGCCGTGCGCCACTGCTGAATGGCGGAGCCATGAAAATCATCCTGGAGATGTGTCAGGATAAACTGTTTCTTATCTCTCCGAGCAAGTTTCTTGATCTTATTGCGGCGTTGTTTAACTTCGGCTTCCGTAAGGTCTTGTTGAGACTGAAAAGAGGTGATATATTCCAACGTGGAAGGGGAGATCCAAGGTTTTTTAGGAGAGACTGGAAGGGCGGGGATCAAGGGAATGTGTTTACGGATCAGTTCTAGGAGACGCAAGTTTTGTTCATCCGGAGAAAGAGCCCACCATTCGTCCGAGGAATACGGGCCCAGGGAGCCATATTCGTTCACTCCTTCTTTTGCCAATGAATCGGCAAACTCGTTGCCTAATATGCCCGAGTGACCTGCAACCTTAGAGAGCGTAACATAATGGGAGCGTAACATAATGGAGGGTGCGCAACGCAGTATAATACTGTTGAGCAAGAGTCACTAGCTGTTGATGCGTGTTAGGAACGGAGTCGCCCAGAATAAGCGCATCGCGTATTCCGAATCCGTGTAAATGGTAACGTCAGAAAACGGAGGGAGGTTGGAGTAGTAACGGACATAATCAAAGAGCTCAATCAGAGCTTTAAGCTCCCCTGTATTGTTGGAGCCCCAAATATCTGGGAGTACCTGGGCGTCCGTGGGTACTGTCTTAACTGGGCCGAAAGAGACTTCCCATTCCGTATCTTGTGAGGGTTCTTCCTTGACCATAGAGCAGGAGACTGCAAACCCCCAGCCTGCTGGGTTCTCCGGGGAAACTATCTTGTTATTGGGGCAGGAGCCGTCCGTATATGCTACCACGTATAGTTGGGGGGGTGGAGGGAGTAGTAGGGTCCGGGAGCTGGTTGTGAGTAAAAGATAAGAGATCTGATTCCAGCGCCTGATAAGAAGGCTGCGTCTGGGCATAGTCTAGCTGAATTTTGCTTTCCGGTTTTGTGTGCTCAGGATATTGACAAGAGAGCGTGCCATACGAAGGGAGATGTCTAGAATTAATCAGTTGTTGGAAAACGGAGCCCCGAAACCGAAACGATTCGTTGAGAGGACTAGTGAGCAAAATATGGTCCAGTGCTGCCCAATTATCCGTATTCGGGTTATCAAGAAGAGGATCCGTGCAGGACATTTCTTTGTGTGTAACGAGATTGTGAGGGGAGAGAGATTGTTGAGAAGGGGAGTGAATAAGAGAAACGGATTTGAGAAAGTCGACCATGTATTCAGCATTGTCCCTGTCGGGATCCTGTAATGCTTGTCTCTTGCCCC